ACATCCAGCTGTCTACAGCTGTGATCACTCACACTGTTACACATGTTTGCATCCATCAATGTCCAAATGCCTAAATGTGCACAAATGAATACACAGATACACTCATATAATGCAAACATCACAGATACAGCTGAATAGTCTAATACACATTAAATATCACTGGGGTGGACATCCAGTATTATTTAGGAACAGATGGACATGCTCAAAGAAAACATGCAAAAAGACACTCTGTCATTAGTTTTATTATCAATAAGAACAACAATACAACAGCAGTAAGTCTTTATGGAGCACCAGGACTTTATTAGGCATCCCCTCCAGGCACTCATCTTCCCACCTCCCATATTTATCAAAGAGATGCTCAAAAATAACACCCTGATAAACAAACCTCCTAGGACAAACACATGTACATTCATCTTGTCACAACCCTTCCAGCTCAGTTCTCATAAAACACAGAGATACACAATCTAAAGATTACAGATATGACTGAAATCTGTTTTATAAATCATATATTTCTATGCTATGGTAGGAAAAATCCTAGCCTCCGCCAGATGTCTACACTCTAATTCCTTGGAACCTGTGAATATGTTACTTTACTTGGCAAAGGGGAATTAAACTTGCAGGTGAAATTAGGATTGCTCGTCAGTTGAATTTAAAGATGGGAGATTATTCCAGATTATCTACATGAGTCCAATGTAATCACAAGGGTGCTTAAAAGTGGAGGACCAAAGCAGAAGGAGAGAACCAGAGAGATGCCAGAAACAGCATGAGAAGTGTTTAACCTGACATTGTTGGCTTTGAATGTTGAGGAAGGGAGCCATGAGCTCAGGAAGTATGTGGCCTCTAGAAGCTGCAAAGGCAAAGGAATGGATTTTCTACTAGAGCATCCAGAAAGAACCAAACCCTGAGGTTGATTTTAACTCAGTAAGACCCATTTCAGGCTTCTGAATGACAAGATAATATGTGTGTATTGTTTCTTTTTTTTTTTTCTTTTTTTGACAGAGCCTCAAGTTATTCCTCTGGGTAGAGTGCTTTCGCATCACAGCTCACAGCAACCTCCAACTCCTGGGCTCAAGCGAGTCTCCTGCCTTAGCCTCCCAAGTAGCTGGGACCACAGGTGCCCACCACAACGCCTGGCTATTTTTTGGTTGCAGCTGTCATTGTTGTTTTGGCAGGCCCGGGCTGGATTTGAACCTGCCACCTTAGGTGTATGTGACTCATGCCTTAGCCACTTGAGCCACAGGCACCGAGCCATGTGTATTGTTTCAAGCCACTAAGTTTGTGATAATTTGTTATAGCACCAATAAGAAACATGATTGCCCTTTCTCCCTCAGGCTCTGGCTCTCTGATTCTGTCTGCACTGGTCTGTTTTTGCCGCTTCCAATTTGTCACGTTTTCTGAATTCATCTGCCTTGGCCTTCATCTCTTTTCCTTTGGATTACTTCACTTTCTTGGCTCCATTCCCACTGCCAAGGCTTGTCAGACAATGAGTTCTTTCTGGATCTCAAGAAATGTCTCTGAGTCTCTTTAGGAACCTTGTATTGTCACCAACTGAAGTGCCTTGCCATGGCCTTCAGTGTCCATGCTTAACAGCCTTGCTTGCACATTAGAATCATCTGGGAAACTTTTTTTTTTCTTTTGTAGAAACAGATTCTCACTTTACCACTGGCACTGGCATCACAGCTCACAGCAACCTCCAGCTGTTGGGCTTAGGCGATTCTCTTGCCTCAGCCTCCCGAGTAGCTGGAACTACAAGTTCCCGCCACAATGCCCGCCTATTTTTTGTTGCAGTTTGGCTGGGGCCAGGTTCGAACCCACCACCCTCAGTATATGGGGCGAGGTCCCTACCCACTGAGCCACAGGCACAAACCCATGAGGGAAACTTTTAAACTCCTGATGCCCAGGTGACATCTCAGACCAATTAAACAGTATTTATGAAGATGGGTCCCAGACATCAGTAGTATTCAAAGCTCTCCAGGAGGTTCCAGTGTTTACCAAAGGAAGACACGGTCTTGCATGATGAGATGTGCAGGTGGGTCTGTCCTGCCATTTTACTCCTGGTATTGTAGCTGCACTGCCTTATATTTTCTATTCCTTGACCATACCAAGATTTATGTAGCTATACAGCTTTTGTATTCCACGTTCCTTCTACTTGGGGCCCCTCTTCCTCTAGAGTTTCACATGGCTTCCTTTTCTCATTCAGGTCTCAACTCAAAGGGAACATATTCAGAAAGGACTTCTACCACTTGTATCTCAAGAAGTTTTCCTCAAAGGCATTCACTATCTCTTTACCCAGATTTACTGTATTCGTGGTATTTGTTGCTATCTACAATGATCTATTTGCTTGTTTATGGTCTGTTTCTATCCAACAGAAGGTAAGATCCCAACCTTCATTGGTGCTACAGCTTTCCCTGCACCTGAAATATCACCTGGCACACAGCCTCAACAAATCTATGCCCAGTTTGTTGTCTTGCTTTTCACAGATGGGCAAAGTGAAGTGGTCTTTTGATTAATTCTGCTTAGACTTTCTTTCTTCTCAGTCAGTAGTCACTCCTCAGTGGCAGATGCCAGACACTATATGAGACATGGCATTCAGTTCTCGCTGGAGGAGCTCATGACTAGCTGTCATTTTGCTTTTATACCTAGGTGATGGGGACTCCTGCTAACAAAGCTTTAGCTTAGCCTTCATGCCCTGGTTACCATGGGTTCATATCTAATGGTTCTAGGACTTTAGTAAGGGAAAAGGCATTTGGAGGTAGACTCTGCCAGGAAACATTTCACTCCTCAAGACCTTTTCCTTCTCTTCAGAATCCCTAACAGCTCTATACTTGATCTTTTAATCCCCTTTTGGGTTCACTCTATCTCTGGAGAGCCGGAAGGGTGGATGTGATTTTGTGTGTGTTGGCTTGGCTTGCTGTAGTTGACCGTGACTGCATCCTTCCTCTCTGTTAGCATCCACGTCTTCTTCTTGTTTAATGTAGGTGCCTCCCATGTAACTGTTCCCACCCCTTTCCTACTTCTTCCAGGATGCCTGCTTCTGATGTTGTGGAATATTATATCTCAATATCCATCCATGGCCTGGGGATATTAGAGGTGGGAGAGATCTTAGCCCATCCCTTCCTTTCTTTTCCTTCTCTTCTTTTTTTATTCTTCTCTCCTTTTGTTTATCCTCCAGTCTCTCTTCTCTGTATCAGTCATATCTCTGTACTTTTAAAAGCCCACAGGTCTTTAGGAGCCTCCAAGGGGGAAAGGTAGGTATGTAGAAGTGTTTGGGAGACCAATGACAGGACAATCATGGTGCCTGCCCTTTGGAACTGTGATAAGGCAGGTAATGTGTATCCATCATCATCCAAAATCTATCATTACTAAATTAGGGGGCATAAAAGGTAGATAAGGTATATCCATCATTAACCTAAATCTTTCATTACCAGATTGTAAAGGAGCACTGAGGGGGGAAGAGTAGGTGAGGATTCTGTTGACAGATTGGGGGATGAGTAGGAATGATTTCAGGAACAACCTGTAAATGAAGGGAAGTTTGTGTTAAGTGACAAAGAAATGGAAAAAGCCAAATGAAGAATGTAAAGCATCTTTAGGGAAAAAACTGTACTTGGGAAAAGAAGGCCCAGAAAGTAAGAAGGATAAATGAAGGAAACCACAATTATTTCTCAATTTCTGCTCACTATGCCCTTCCAAAATATTTTTTTTCAATATTAGCT